TATATATACTTGTACATATTTATATTTATATTTATATATATAATTAATTAATTAATAGAATCCGCCCGTCAACTTTCTGGTCGAGGATAAAGCCACCAACATCTTTCTTTAATGCATAGTTTTTTTTTAAAAATTTATACATAAGCCACACCATGTTAACACGATGCCAACATATTTGTTTAAAAAAGCATTAGAAATAATTCTTTCAGCTTTAGAATTCATTTCAATGTAAAATACTAATTATTTTAAGAATAAAATTTAAGAATAATTTCATAGATACAGTTAATATTTTTTAATCATAGTTCATTAACATATATTTATACATGATACTAAGATAAAAATCTAATTCTGATTAGAAATCATAAAATAAATCAATCTGATCCATTTAGATCCAACATACCAAAAACAATCAAGGTCGGACTAGCTCGCTAAGAGAAAATGAGCCACAAACCTTGGCTCATCTCACTAAATAAAAGGGAAAAAAAAAGTTTGTATGTTTAATTTGAGTTATCTCCTAACATATTTTTTTCTTAAAGATCAATATAAATTAATGTATCTAAATAAAAAAAATCTTAAATTATATATAATAAAATAAATCAAATACACAATAAATTACAAATTATACATAAAATAAATCTAAAGTGACTTAATTAAATTTACATTAAAAATAATACATAAATAAAAAAAATTATTATAAAAAAAAAAAAAAAAATTAATAAAAAAAAAAAAAAAAATTAATAAAAAAAAAAAAAAAAATTAATAAAAAAAAAAAAAAAAATTAATAAAAAAAAAAAAAAAAATTAATAAAAAAAAAAAAAAAAATTAATAAAAAAAAAAAAAAAAATTAATAAAAAAAAAAAAAAAAATTAATAAAAAAAAAAAAAAAAATTAATAAAAAAAAAAAAAAAAATTAATAAAAAAAAAAAAAAAAATTAATAAAAAAAAAAAAAAAAATTAATAAAAAAAAAAAAAAAAATTAATAAAAAAAAAAAAAAAAATTAATAAAAAAAAAAAAAAAAATTAATAAAAAAAAAAAAAAAAATTAATAAAAAAAAAAAAAAAAATTAATAAAAAAAAAAAAAAAAATTAATAAAAAAAAAAAAAAAAAGATTGACAAACCAACTTGCTATTTAACCGATAGGTTGACAAATTAGATAAAGTTATCCAAGCAGGGCGAGCCAAGCAAGCTTATAAACTAAAATAACTAACTCAACTCGCCAATTTTTTATGGTCAACAAGTCAACCCATTTTACTTGCGTAATTACATTCAACAAATTAAAACCAATTCTGGTAAAATAAATTCCCCCAAGTTTAACATAATCGTTCAGACCTTACCATTCGAATGTAGAGATCCATGATGATACAAATGCAAGACAAGAATGTTGACGTATATCAATAGACTTTTGGAAAATAATGCTTGTTGTGGAAACAAGTAATGCACCAAAAACGGGTATGATCATTCCGGTAGTGAACACTGTTCAACATCCTTAGAAAATAGTGACTGAACCTCTTTTTTCTGTAATATATATTTGATATTTTGATATAGATTGCACCTAACTAACTTGATACATCAAACATCCATTTTATAAAACATGAGAAAATCATCACTGACAAGCATTGCTACACAGGAATGGCCTCCAACAACACTCCACTATGGTGGGGTTGGGACTGTTTAACAAATTATTGTCTTCCCGGCTACGCATATCCATGACCTTTGGATATCCCAGCAAACAACTAAGCAAGATCAGCAGCTTAACTCTTCATGATGATGGGTTCTCACAATATCGAACATGCACATATGTGTTTTCTGGGCATCTCATCAACTTTTTTCTCTGTTCAGGTCAACAAAACAATATTAACATTCAGTCATAATACTTGGTCCTAGTTACCTTTCGACCATTACCTAGTACATACACCTACATGGAGCTGCCCTTAGAAGCAGATACAAAATAATAGAAAATATACCTGTTTTTGCTTTGAGCAAAGATGGCTGGACCACAACATGCATGGTGATAACCCCTTTAGGAAGCTCGCCAAATGGTACTCTACACTGGCCAACTGTCTTGTTGTTCTCCAAAATTTTGCCAGCACTTATCAGTTTTATATCATTTGCTGCCTTTGGTATAATTTTCTTGTCTATGGTAACAGAAACAAAACAAAACAAAAATAATAAGGGAAAAGAATATAACACCAAAGCAACAGGAACTAGTGTAACACGAAAATAAGACAAGTACAACACAATTCATCCATAAGATAAGTCATATAACCTTGCTCAAATATATAACTGGCTACTAAAGGGCAAATCATGTAGTAAAAAGATACAGAGTTATTACTTCAAAAATGTATTGCACAGTTTTGTGACTTAATGAGAACTCAACTGAAATTGCTGACTAGTGTTAATCGTTAATACCAGAATCAGAATATCATGATACGTCTGTCCTGGTTATAAAAGAAGTTAACAGGGGGAGAAAATAACCAAAAACAAATGTTGAAGGCACCCACACAAAAGTTATCTGGTTACAGGTTCCCATCCAATTCCGACCACTCTCTTGTATCGACATTACACACCCATGCAACCAGAAAGCCTGCTCAGGTAGGTTTGCTGCTTGCACCAAGAATTAACTGAGTTCATTCTAGTTTAGATTAGCATAAGACGTACTGATTAGGAACATCCAAGAGCTAATCGTTTAATGCATATTTTTGTCATTAATATAATCCTTGTTAACAAGGCAACAGATAGAGTATATTTAAACTAATGCTGCAGAGGAACATAGGATTTTCAACTGAGTGTAACTGTGTAAGAGGGAACATGTGGAATGCGACTTTAACAAGATGTGAATTAGCTATGTCTTGGGAGGTAAATTGAGGATCATGTTATGCCACAAGAAGCATATTTAGGTATCCAGGATCAATCAAACAAATTGATACAGGGATTAATTGGGATGTCACACATAGGATTTAAGCTAACCAGATGAAATGGAGAATTTCCAAGCATAATATGTGACTGCAAAGTGCACATCAAACTCGGAGGAAACTTATTCTCTACGGGAGTGCTTCTTGGCTGATAAAGTGCCAAGTGCCAACAAGAAATGAGAATGTTGAGGTGAACAAGTGGACATACATGAAAATATAAGATTAGGAACATGTGTATCTAAGAGAAAGTTAGGAGTAGAACCTACTGAGAAAATGTGAACTGTGAAGTGAAAGGACATAAATGTAATTGCATTTAAAATCAAAGCAGATAGGACATAAGTGTCATTGAAAATTTGTGTCAGTTGGAAAATGCATGCGCTGCCAATATTTGGTAGGAAAAATGGGTAATAAAGAGAGATGTGCCACCAGAAACAGAGGCCAGACTCCTCCCCCTTATCAGTCTGCTACGTTGAAATTTGGCAGCTGCGATTAACAACTCTGGTTTTGCTACTTGATACTACTTCCGTCCCATAATAAGTAGTATCATGTTTGAAGAAAAAATAAGTTCCAAAATATGTATATATTAGCTTTTCAATGTAATATTAATTACATCTTTTCCATATATACCCCTCATAAGTGGTTATTATTTTATATCGTTTCTAATAAAAAAAATTAATCATAAGGTTAATTTTATAAAATTGTTATTTTCTTTCATTTATTTACTAGTTTTCTTGGTATGTGTAAGACAACACTTATAATTTGACAGAGGGAGTACAAGATTGTAATTAATACCACACAAAGAATCACAACCGAGAGAAAGCAACGTAAAAGGTCTCAGTAGCCAGTGATCACTATATACCTGCCCATTAAACAACCAAACCCAACCACTTGATTACAACAAAATGTAGTCAAGACAAACTTTCTTCCTGTATTAACAAACTAACAGAAGTCCAGTCAATATTCTAGCATCTCAATTTGTGGTGCTGTGCAGAGGTTTATGATAATAAGCAAACACGTGAGCATCAAAGTGCTTTTGTTTACTGTCAGCATATCCAATTCCCAAATTAAAATGCACACCCACACATGAAACTGAAATTTCCCACGAGGTCAAGGATACCAATGACACTGTGATTACATTTTAAAACCTTCAATGATCCTTCCTGAAACCCAAACTTCAAAAAAGGCTACAGAAGGGAGAGTTTTCTTCCTCTTTCCTCACGTAAACAACTTCAATTTCAGACATCACATCCACTAATTTTGCAAAAGGATAAATCTTAATTACAGTTCTTTGGTTTCATTTCATATTATTCTTCAATCAAAATTAAAATTTTACCTATGTAATATTCGTAGATGTATATTAACGATACCAGCATTAAATGTAAGAGCAAAATGCCGAAGTAAAAAACTTATTGAAAAACAACAATCACATCTAAGAAACAACCATATCTAAAAAATCGTATTTAAGTTTTGTACTTTTCAAAAAAAAAAATCATTTTTCCCCCAAAGCAAATTCATCCAACCTCAACGCAGCATGCACAGAGACCACTCCAAAACCACCAAACCACTCCACCGCTTGCCACCTCACTCGCCAAAAAGACAAAAAAAAAAAAAAATTCTCCAAACATAATCAAGCAACACAACACAGCACTTCCAACACCTTGAGAAAAGACCTCTCCATTTTTCACAAAAATAAGTAAACAAAATAAGGCCGTGTTTGGCGAACAAAATAAAAACGCAAGGGAACCTCACAGTCAGAGGAAAAGAGCAGAGCCAGTGACTCCAGGGAAGCTAAGAAGTCGGAGGCGAAGCCCTAGTAATACGGCAAAGCCAACAACAGCATCATATCATCAGAATTAAACCACTAAAAGCAGCGGCCCAACAAACAAAAAAAAAAAAAAAAAAAAAAAAAAAAAACAAACCTTTGGGCCAGTCGGCGAAAATCCGGTCCTTGAGCATAGCCACAGTGGAAGCCGGCGAGTAACGGAAGGGTCCAATATCGGATCCATCGTAGAGACGGAATTTGAGCTCCACCACTTCTTCTTCAGGCATCGCACTCACACTCACACTCCCAAATTCAAATTCAAATTCAAATTCAAATTCAAATCCAAATTCTGAAGAAGGTTGATATAAATGAGAACAAGAAGAAGCGAAAGAAAAATTGCCAACCAGAGAACACAAGACAAACCCTATCTCCCCACCTTCACCTTTTTATTTCTTCACTATAACGCATCAACACACTTCTTATTATACAACTTTTTTTTTTTTTAATATTAAAATCACAAACATATTCTTATTTATATTTTTTTATTAGTTAAAATTTACAAATTAAAAAAAATAATTATTAAATAGAGATGGAATTTATTTTGGTAACAAGGTCTTTAAATTATTTTTCCATTAAAAATATTGATTAATTATTATTAATTAACAAAATATTAATTAAATATATTAAATAATCTTTAGTTATTAACTTAGATAATAAAAACTAAAAACAGCACTCGTTTTACATTATCAACTAGATTATCAACATTTTCTCTCTTCTTCTTTTTTTGAAAAGTATATTTTACACACTATTTTACAAAATAGATAACAAATTTTATTTTAATCATTTCAAAATATTCTCTTCAATGTATTTTTGTTTATAAACTTTATTTAAATTTAACACGTGTATTAAGAGTTTAGTTTTTGAGTTAATATTTATACACCGTCAGTGTAAAAAAAATTTACACTAACAACCGATTGTATCTTTTAATAGTATTATATCAATTATTTATTTAATAAAATAAAATAATTTAAAAAATATGATTAATTACTAATATAAAAAATTTTACACGAATGATTAATTCATAATTTTTATGAAATTCATAAATAAATCATGGACATCAAATTGAATTGGTTCAATTCAATGACGCGGTTTTTGTGATGCAGCGAAGGGTGACGGTGATGAATGAACTTGGTCTTCGATTCGCAAGATTTTACCATTGAATTTCTTTTCTTCTTTTTAAGGAGAAAAATAAAAGTGAGATTTGGACTTGGAATCTAGTCAATTAGCATTGGGCAATTACCGAGAAAAGGATCTTTCGGTTGTGTGTGTGGGAACATCACCGACTCAAATACCTAAGCCAATCAATGGAAGCTTTGTGACTGTGAAGGTGTGAGTTGTCACAAAATGACTGGTTGTGCAGAACAAGGGAATGAGGGTTGGCGTAGGGAATGATGGACTTGACTTGACCAGAATTAAATGAAGTAATGTGAGTTAGAAACGCGTGGGTGTGACAGGTGGCGGTGAGGTTCAGGAGATGAGAATCAGCCAATAATTTTAAATCTTTTTATATTATTTTATTTTAAAAATATGTTCTTTTTAATGGGTCTAATATTTTAATTATTTAATGTTTCTCATAAAGTATAATGTAAAATATCATTTTATCCTGAATTTCTAATGTTGAGAAAATGCCAAATATATATTTTTATCCTACTATATAAAAAAAATAAAGTATATTTGACAAAGAGAAAATAAATAAATAAATAAGAAATAAAATAAAGAAAAATAAATGTATAAAAAAGTATTTTTTAATATGATGATTTAATTAAAGAAAAATAGATAAGAAATAAGATATATATATATATATATATACTAATATATAAGAATATCACTTTTAATAATTACTTTTAATTTTTATTTTTACATGATTATTTTATTTTTTGTTTATTTTTTAATAATTACTTTTTTTATGAGTAATTTTTTTTTTTTCTTTTAGTATAATGTAAGCACGGAATACCTTTTTGTTGCTGGTATATATAAAGATAAGAGAGAAAGGAAGTGGAACCCACTACAAAATTTTATTTTTTTCGATTATTGTATATCTTATATAAAAAAATTAATTTCTTTTCTTTATTTTTTTGCCTCCTCCTATATTTTTTTTTACCAATTTCTACATAGCAAACAATGATAGGACTTAGTAATTTAATAGGTTAAAAAATAATCTTATTTGCAATATTATTTTATAATTTTTTCACACAAATATATACTTGATATGTAGATCTAAATATAAGTAAAAATTTATTTAATTTTATTTTTAAAATATAAACAAATTTCAATTAAGTTTACTTTATTTAATACTCTTAAGGTCCATTTGGATAAGCATGTATTTAATAAACTTTTAAAAAGAAAATTATGTTATAAGTACTTAAAATTTAATAAGTTGTATTGCATTTAGATTTACATGTTAAAAATACTTATATAATTTTAAAGTGTTTAAATGTATCATTATTTAAGCTCTTATAAGATGTTATCTTATTTAAAAATTAAGAATTACAAAATTAAATTTTGACTGAAAATAAAATTAAAATATAAAAAGTAATTAAATAATTTTTAAAAATGAAATTATACATCACAATAACATTAAAAAAAAAACTATTAGTCACCATTCACCCAATTTTTTAGTTTATAAAAAATAAAATTAATAATAAAATAATTTCATGAATAATGTTTTTGTCAAAGTTCTCTCTAAGCATTGATAATTCTTGAGTAAAGAAAAATTCTGTTTTAAAATAATTAATGTCTGACACAAAATATTCATTTGATTAGAGATTATATAATTTTCAACCCTTCTTACAGTAAGGATATCCAACAAAGATACTTATGACTCCTACTATCTCATTTCTTGCCTTGATTGATTGTGTGCATAATACAATGAGCCAAACAACCCCCAAGTGATCATATGATGGGATTGATGGCAATTTTCATAAAGGATTTCATATGGAGTTATTCTATTCAAAATTGAGGATGGAGTGTGATTAATTAAATAAACATCGATTAACACACATTCACCCCAAAAACCGATGGGAAGATTCTCTGGAAGCGTAATGTTTGTGCCACATTCAAGATATGTTAGTGTTTCCTCTCTATTCTTCCATTTTGCTGTGGACTTGTGCCCTTATATAGAAAGTTTGAAAAACAATGTCACATTCAAGAAAATAATTTTTCACCCACAAATTTTGTTCAATTATCACTTTGAACAATTTTGACTTGTTTATTATATTGTCTTTCTACCATAGCATAAAAATTTATTAATGTATGTGACACTTCTTTCTTGCCAACTAACAAAAATATTCAAATAGCATTAGAACAATTATCTACTATTGTCAAAAAAATACAAAATACCACAAGAACATGGAATTTTATACGGTCCCTACAAATCACAATGAATTAATTAAAAAATCTCAAAAATTTTGATTACTAAAAGAAAAATTGTCTCTAGTTTGTTTTGCTTGTTGACATACATCACGAGCTTTATTTAACAACTCACTACTATTACCTTAACCAACATTAGGAACTAATTGAGTAGTTTTCAAAATGCATCCCAAACATCTATGTTAGATATCATGTTGGTTTATTTCATTAATCTTGAATGTCTTCAATTATGGAACCCTTCAGAAAAAATACAGTTTATTCCTTCGTTCACCCACTCCAATTAATGTCCTCATAGTGTGATCTTGTATGACGTACAAATAATTAGTGAATTGGACAATACTGATTGATTCATCAATTAATTATGACACAAATTAAATTACAATTTAAACTAGGGATAAAAAGAACATTTTTTAAGCTTTAAACCCGCCAAGATTTATTGATCCTTCCTTAATTGCACTAATATGTTGTCTATGTTGCTCTAACCATTCATCTTCTCATTGTAACTTCTTTGTTGACCTTTCAACAAATCTTCCAGCATCTTTCATTGCCCAATAATTACTCTATCATTCCAAATAGACATTCTCATAGCCTTATACCATATAAAAAAAACATAAACTATGAGAATATAGCCATGTATCTCAATCCAATTAATTTTTAATCTAAGAAATAAGTGATCTAAGTCCAATACTCCAATCTACTATACGCTAACATCTATCTGTCGCTATTATCAATATAAGTTATTTACAACTATGTACACCTATGTTAAACAAATTACTATTAAGTATACATAGATATTATTTTCCTAAGTACGTTTAGTGCAAAAGTTAAAATCAATTTCATTGAGCAGAAAATATATGGTATCGCAAATAACATGTATCTGCAGGTTATAAAGTCTAAATTACTACTGTGTGTTATTGTAGAATATATATGTATTTTATAATGTGATTTAATGAGTTGAGATTTTATAATAATTTATTATACAAAGTTGAGTCATGTATAAAGAAAAAGAGTACTATGCAAACCATCATGCACTTAATCCAAGATCATATAATTAAATATAATAAAAGAGGATAAATATTATTCATGGAAGTAAGTACTAATTTTAGACTCAACTCATAAATGAGATATTTTTTTTTATGAAAATAAGTGGAGAAAATTACACTTAAAATTCACATGATAAACATTTACTTGAAATTATATTAAAATCTAAATCAATATGGTGATTTTTTAATATAAATGTTTTTTTTTTTAATTTTTTATGATTTATTTAATGTATTAAACATTTTATTTTATCTAACACAAAAGTATGAATAAAATATAAAATATAACAAAACAATGAAGAATATTTTTCATTATAATAAACACAAAAATTTAGATTTAACTCACGAGAATGAAGAATATTTTGTAAAAGAAAGTAGGAAAATTTGTACTTAAAATTCATGGAGATGAACAACTTACTAGGAATCATATTAAAATGTAATTCATTATTATATTCATTTTTAATTATCTACTTTTTTTAGTATAAATATTTTCTTTTTAATGACATTTAATTTATTGAATGTTTTAATTTATCTAGCATAAAATGTATAAATAAATAATAATAAATATTTTTTTAAAAAATAAACAAACAAAATTAAAACTTAATTCATACATGAGAATGATTTTTTTTCTTCTAGAAAAGTATAAGATTTTACATTTAAAATTCACGAAACCGTGAGTCTGTCTTATCAAAATAAATTAAAGTTTCATAATAGATAAATTATGTTAGTTGAAAACTTCAAATATTTGGTTATATTACATTTTTATACTATGTACAATCCTTCAAATTACAATTTATATTCATGAAGTTCATTTAGTTGACAAAGAAAATTTATTAATTTGTTTAGAGTGTGTTTTTATGACATTTATAAATTTCATAACTCTTTTACTTGAACTCAGTAAATGCAAAACTCCTATAGCTAAATGAAACAATATTGGGTTGATTTTGTCAATGTTATAACACAATTTTACTTATTTTCTTTATTATTATTTTTTAT